AGGGATAATATCCTAATTATAGGATATTATCTTATAATTAACGAGATAATTCAGATATTATCAAGTCCGACTCGATCTCTATGAAACCCTAGCCCCGAGGCTACGAAACCCTAGCCCCGATGCTCCTATAAATAGATGACTTCAGTCATCATTCAAGGGACTTCAAAAAACCCTACATCTAAAACCCACGAAAATACCCGAAGCTCTCTCTCCCTCTCCACTCTCCACTCTCCATATTTTCTCCACACGGCTCCGGCCACTACACACGGCTCCGGCCGCCCGGTTTACACCATACAAACTCCGTACCCTTTGCTTAGCTATTGTTTTCCTACAAACACTCGAACTAACTTAGGCATCGGAGGGCCTTTGGCCAACACCCCCGGGTGTGGTCTATTTACTCCAGTCTTTTTTACAGGAATCGAGAAGGAGAGAGAAGGAAGATCGAAGGTTGAAGGATCTAGAAGCGAATATTCTCCCGCGAGATTATTTGCACAAACAGAAATCTTGAAGAATAGCTAACGATCGACCGAGCCTCTTCAGTTCACCATTAAGTCCCCAGACGAAACTGGTTTCTTGATCAGCAAGAGCAAAAGCAAGTGAAGCTACCTTCGTAACTATTGCCTCGGCCGCAAAAGTAGGGATCGATTCGCTTGCCATCTTAATCTCCTTCGGTAGGTAACTCCGGCAAGAGAAAGAGCAGATTAGTGCTTAAATACGAGTTGAGAACAGGAAGTCGAACGAGATTGCAGAAGCACAGGCGCAGTGTTTCTCTGTAGAATGAGACCGAAGGCGACGATGGGATGAAATGGAAGACACCCTGGAATGGGACCTAACGCTCAGCTGTAGCTGTGAGTTTCGAAAGGTTGAAAATCGAGGACAGCAAGATTCTCCTCCACACATGGCTTACGTCACAATTTAATTGCCTGCAACTTTGACTAAAGCCCACCAAACTTTTCAAATCAGAGCATATTATAATATTCAGACCCACAAAAAAAAAAGCGTATTATAATAACAAGGATAATTGCAATTTGCATTTAACAATCGCTCATCGCAATTGCATCCATACTGAAAGGTGCCGGGAAAGTAACTAAAGTCATTGTTTATGATTATTTCATTTTAGTTTAGAGTCCTTCTTTCTAGCCTCGCATGTGATTACTTTTTCTAATACGACGAAACTAAATTTGGACGTAATGTGCGTCGCTTTTTATATCCGGCACGAATCTCCTGAACTGGGGTCTAGGAGTGGGTACCAACTGGCTTTTTTTTATTTTTTATTTTATTTATAATTTTAATAATTGGGGTAACGAAAATCTCAGTTATCCCTTTTAACGACTTTGTAACTGATGTGTTTTACTGAAAATATCAGTTTACTCGCGACTTTGTAACTGAGTCAATATGCCTCTTCATTAGGGCTGGGCACCTATACCGTATATACCGAAACCGTATCAATACCGTGTCATATCATACCATTTTATACCGTACCGTACGGCCACCGAATTAATACAGTATCATACTGTACCGTACCAATCTTGTATGACACGGGTGCGGTACCATGTATTAGCCACCGTTTGCCACCGTACCGTACCGAACAGTAACAAAAACAAAAATATACGCGAGTTTTACTCGATCTCTCACCCAGACTCTTGAACTCTCCTCCCACTCCCAGCCAGCTCTCTCTTTCTCTCAAATTCTCGATCTTTCTCAATCCCCCTCGATCGATCGAACCAGGCCAAACCTTCTGAAGCTCATCTCATCCAGCCAGAAGCCAACTTTATCGGTATAGACCTCATCTCATCCTCTCTCGACAGAGAACTCACCCTCTCTCTCGACTTCCTCTCTCTCTCTCTCTCTCTCTCTCTCTCTCTCCCAAAGCAAAGTTGTTGAGAGTTAAA